GCGGAGCCCGAGCTATGCCGTGCACTGCCGTCCTATCTAATCTGATTGTACAGTAGATAACGACGTGTCCATATCAGGCAGGTAGTACAGAGGTCNCGGGTTCGAGCCCGCGAAAAGGAAAAATTAAAAAACGGCTAGACGCCATACCAACTCGTGACATTACCCCCCCCTCCAATGGCGCATGACCTCATGCGAGGCGCCTTTGCCCATTTCCCATCTGGAGCGGCAGCGTGCTTCAGTCAGTGGCAAAGGCATCGGCTGAAAGTTGAGACCACCAAAGACAGCGGCATTGAGGCGGCGAGGGGCGTTCGGATTCTTCTGGTGGAAGTCGGCTATGAGGGCCGGCGCATTGGCAACGTTGCGTGCCGGTTCCCATGACATATGCGAGTCGTCATAACCCTTCCACTTGACGAGGTACTGCAGCTGACGCCGGAAGATCCGCAAATCCTTGATCTGCTCAACCTCGTACTTGTCACGACTTGACACGGCGCCTAGCCGTTTTTTAATTTTTCCTTTTCGCGGGCTCGAACCCGCGACCTCTGTACTACTTGCCCGATACGGACACATCGTTATCTACTGTACGATCAGATTAGATAGGACGGCAGTGCACGGCACAGCTCGGGCCCCGCTGACACAGCCGCTCTGACTCACCGGCCCCCGGGGCCGCGTCGGCATGCTGCGCACAGACCAGCTGCGCACGGACCAGCGCGCACAGCCTGCCCTTAACCTCCCCTGTATATAAGCCGGCCTCTGCTGCCCTAGGGACCTCAGTTTCGACCTCTTGTCCCTAGGTCAGTAAGCCCTCCTTTGTATCACTTTCTTACTTATACTAACCAATACATTTACTTGTCCCTAGCCTTAGGTTTGAGCGTAGCTCACCATCGCTTTGGTAAGACTTAGTCGGACGCCCCCAGCCCTTAGGTTTTCCCCAGTCGCTTGACCTCAAGTCGCGACATTAGGTCGAAACTCCCCAAGCTGCCGGCGTCCTCTCAGGACTCCCACATTCACTTTCCTTTTCCCACAGGTCGGGTGGTGCGCACCCCTACGATACCCTACGGTACATACGATACGTAGGTAGCCTTACATACATCGCCACCCCTAGAGGAACGAACTCTTCAACACCTGCACTTCAGTGGGTGGTGTTTGTCCTCACGGACGCGTGGACTAGGTTCCTGCTGCATAATAGTCAAAAGCAGTACTGGGCCCCACGTGAACTGCGAACCTCAGGGTCTTCTCGGGCGCCGTAGCGTAAGCTAGTGTAGTACGGCCATTTTTAGTACGCGCACCTCCCCTTCCTCCCCCCATCCATCGTGGCTGCCTGCCAAGGCCAGATCCACGCATTCGAC